GATGGGTCTGGAAGCCTTCACCCTTTCCACAAAATAGGAGCAAAATCTGACTCCTCATTAGGATAGACATAATTGTTAATTTATTTTGTTGTTGTTGTTATATGGCATGGTGAGCACTTTTGCCTCTAGTGTTAAATGTCGAAACTCATTCATCTTTGAGAAAAAAAAAAAAAGACCAGTCATTGTAGAACTGGTCTATAGATATTAAGATGTTAATTTGAAAATTCTTATTCCCCAAGATGCCTATTCCCTAATGGTGGGCTTAATAACAAATGAGTTCTGACAATGATATTCAGACAATTCACTGAATTACATGATTTTTAAAAATCATTGTGAAGTGGCTGTCCCTCGCCTTTTCCACCATCTTACACTAATGTCTTTTGGGGCATACAGTATCAACATTGTCCTGCTGCTTTTGCTCAGAGCCAGTGAAGCAGGTGGCCTGGTTTTCCACCTGTGAGGCCAACAGCAAAATGTCTTGCATATCATTTTGGGAAGGATCTTTAGAAGGCTGATATAGGAAAACAAAACTGAAAATCTGTCCCTAAAGCCTCAGTTTGGCAGTGGGACTCCCCAGTCCCTATAGATTTCCTTGGATCATCGCTCTGACTCCACCTCAGGTTCACTGTTGTCCCTGCTAATTTTCCTCTGTCTGTTTAAAGGGGATGCACTGATACAGATTATTACTGCATTACAGTCCAAATGAGAGACAAATCACTGACCTCTATGTGTGGGAATGAATCCCTTAGGTGATACAGCTGTTTTGTAGCAGTGGCTATCTTGGAGCAGTCTCATGGCATATGCATTTCCCTGAGACACAGGGCACTACTGAGTGAAAGGCAGCACCTTCTCTTCCAAGTACTGTGAACCTCAGTAGGCACAAATTGGAATGTCTTCAAATACTCTCAGTTTACAACAGCTGCATGTAAAAAGAATGTGTTGCAGGTTATTTCTTAAGCAGGATGCAATAGACTGCCTCACATCTTGACAGACAGGAGGAGGGAAAGCAGCAACATATTTAGCATGCAACAGTATGGATTTCCTCATATGCCATCTTCACTTGTTATTGAACCCACCTTCTCTCCTGGGGAGCAGCAGCCTCTCCTGGGTTGGTCTGATGGCTAAGCTAGCGTAAACCAAAGTGATCACATCTGGCAGCACCTTAGTAATAAGACCTTGTCAGCATAAAGGCAAAAGTAACTAAATATCCTCAAGTTTGAACTTGTCCAGGTCGAAACTTTTCTGGAGTCTGTCAGGTATCATTTGTGCCTGTTTTACATGCCTTGTTTCTCTTACTTGCAGCCAGGACTTGTGAGATGTGGTGCATATGCAGGGCAGACCTCTGGGAGACATCTATGCATCTGGTTTGATGGTTCCTGAGAGCTGTTGTCAGGCAGCAGGCAATGAGGCAGGTTCTAGTTTGTGGTATATGACAGTTGACCAATCAAAAGCCAGGCACAGGCTAGTAAATTGTATTTCAAGGTGATCAAATTATAATTTTTATAACTTTTGAGTCCTCCAGTGATTTGTGTCACTATTGGTTTTAATGAATGGTCTAAAAGGGGATTGTAGGCAGCAAATGTGATGGTGGAATAAAATGATTAAGAGCAATAAAAGCTGGAAGAGAAATGACAAAATCAAGAGGGACCTAATAAAGTTGGATAAATGGGCAATGCAGGAGCAAATGAAACACAGCGTTGCAAGAAATTTTATAACAGGAGGAATGATGTTAACTCTCTTTAGCATTCTTGAGTTCTGCATTTTGCTTTGAAGAGATCTGGTCTTTTGAAAGACAGCTTAAAGAGCACTGCTACTCAGAGCCTAGGTGTGGCAACTGATGCAATATAAGAGATGACAGGTTGTGCAATCTACCTAAACAAGACGGGTGGTAGGAAGGGAAAAGGACAACATCAGAGACTGTAGTGTTTGCCCACGGTCACTCATCAAACAAATGTAGAACAGGGGGCTTGAGAATGTCAATGTCTAGGGCCAGACTTTAAACTGCCTGCACAGATTCCCAGAGGCGAGGCCATTAACTGAGAGAAGCACCTCCAGAGGGTCATAGACATATATAGATATAGTCATACAGATGGCCAAGACAGAGGGAAGGAATCACTCTTTGTCAGCTCATAGTTAGAGGGAGAGGTTAGATGAGTTGCTTAGGCCATATGACCAATTTTTAAGTGGCTGGAATTAGTAAAATGACTTGTACCCTGATATTTTTACCTCTGAACCATTTCTTTTCAGCCGAAGCTGAAACTAGGGGGCTGTTCCTGGATGGTAAGTCCTTTTGTATTTCCCTGAGAACTGGCAGCTGTGGAAAAAAAATATGTCATCAGAGGAACAAAATGAAATGAATAGTGATAAAAGCTTTATGGATTCAGGCTAGCCTTGGGGACTGAGGACACTGGTGAGGCCATACAGATATGCCCTGGCCTTCTGACATTTCTGCCCTTACACAAGAGCAGTGGGTAGAGTGTGGGTACTACTCAGGACTAGGGCTGTCAGTTGGAGGTATCTGCTAGTGTGGTGAAGCATAGCCCCTCCACCATGGCAAGCTGAGCTCCCTGGCTCATGAGCAGATTTTATGCAGTGCTGCAAATGCTCATGCACACTGCCAGGGCCTTGAGAAGCCCCAGGGCAGGAAACTTGAGGACCTCTGTGATCAGCATGTTTGTTTCACTGCCAGCCTGTGACATCACATGCTTTCTTTGAGTTTCCTCCCTTGTTCTAGTTTGGGCCATGCCTGCTGAGCCCTGATGTGTCTGTAAATAGATCCTATTTACATTTCATTGGTAAAAACAGAGAGTTCTACAGTTTTATTTGTGGGAGGGTGATAGATGCAAGTGTTGGTTGTTTGCATGGAGATCTCACAGACTGCAAAAGCAGTCACCTGTTCCATAAAATGGAAAAAAAATTCCAGCCAGGCTGCCAAGTGCCTACTAAACACCAGCTGTGAAGTGTCACAGCATCAAGCTGTCCAGCTACTGACTGTGCTCACAAGCTGAGGCAAACCCAAGGATAATCAGGTAGCCTAATGGTGACAGACAGCTTAGGAAGGTGGGTTCAGATACTTCCCTATGGTGTGAGTGCAAGCACCTAGCCTTAATGCTGTTGATCCTTCCCACTGGGTGATATACAACCTAGAAAGTTGGTCTCAGTTGCTGCATAACGTGTCTCGCAGAAGCCACTGCTGGGGGCTTCTGTGGCGTAAAACCAGACCTTGGAGCAGCTTGCCTTGGGGAACCCTCAGTACATGCAGCAGATACTTTCAAGTTCAAGCCAATATGATTATGGACAGCATTTCTATTCGCCTTCCTCCCACTGTGCTACAATGGGACAAGTAAAGCATTGCCGTATCAGACATGAAGAACTGTACAGAGGCTTTTTGTAGACTGTGATTAAAAGCAGAAACAGTAATGGTCTGAAAATACCAAACCGTAACCATAGAGAGGAACAATTATCTATGTTCATTGCAGTCTGTATGGAGCCTGTATGACAGGGATAGTTGCCTTATACTTCCAAGGGAAGGCTTTCAGCACTGAATATATTGATGCAGTGGAAGATTCCTGCAAAAGTTACAGATCCTTAACAGTTGAGGGTTTTAAGAATAAACAGGCATCTGCTTAAAGTGTATAAAACTGATGTTTAATTCAGACAGGGAAGCGGTGGAATAGATGTCTTCTTCTGTTCCTTTCTACCCTACGTTCTGTGATTCCTGTTACATCAGGAGATTAGGAAGCTTTCAGAAGTCTCTCAATAGCAGGTTTACATGCTCTACACCGTTTACTTGATCATGGTGGTTGCAGTCCTTTGTCTAGTGTTATAAAATCAATGTGAGATGTGAACATAAGTGCTCCAGGATAAGTAAAAGAATCATTATGACATAATTTTCAGTGCTTTTTCTGTGATGGTTTAAGGCAGGTTCAGGTGATAAGTAGAACCTATGGCATACTATGTTTGTGAAGTCACAGCTTTTCATCTTTGTTGTTTGAGAAGTCACTAAAACTTTTTTTATCTTGCTGGCTGCCTGGCTCTCCAGGGGCACATGACTTTGTGCAACTCTGTGGAAACAAGGCTCCTGTCTTAAATTAGTACAGGTGTAGATGAGGCAAAGTCAGAGACAGCAGTTTTTCACACACATCTGCAACAGAAACTGAGCACAGTACTGACATGGTAAAAGTGTGGTAACTGGATGGTTATGTCTGCACATCTGTTTCTGGGTATTTTGAGATATACAGAATCCTTAGCTAGAAAGAAACCTTCAAATGCCTTTGCTGACTTTTCTGCTTTCAGAAGCCTTTAGCCACCTTCCATGAAACTTGTGTTAGTGTAATTTCCCTGCCCCTTCCCATTTGCACACTCAAACAAGATAAGATCCAGGCTCAAAACTTTAATTGCAGAGTAAGAATAGCCATAAATGGATATTGCATGTTACAATCTGTCACGTCTCTGAAGGCACGAGATTTTGTCAAGGCTGTGTGACTGGTTTCCAAGCTTCAAAATGCTCCAGCCATAATGTTTCAAAAATCATCGGCCAAGAATTTATTTTTACTTCACCATGGGTGGAATACACTTGGGCTGGTACTAGGAAGAAGCTCCTTACTGTGAGGGTGGTGAGGCACTGGCACAGGTTGCCCAGAGAAGCTGTGGCTTCCCCATCCGTGGCAGTGCTCAAGGCCAGGTTGGATGGGGTTTTGAGCAACCTGGTCCACTGGAAGGCCTCCCTGCTCATGGCAGGGGATTTGGAACTGGATTGTCTTTGAGATTTCTTCCAACCCAAACCATTGTACAATTCTACAGTTCACTGCTAAGGACAATGCCCAAGTGAACAACAACAAAAGAAGGAGACAATCTGCTTGAACCTGCAAACTGAAGGCCTGTCTCCTTGACACAATGCAGATGAACCATTTCTTCTTGATGCTTGAGGCTTGTAAAGCCACAGAAAAACACTAACTGCTGTGAGTAAAGTAGTCAATAAATTACCATCAGACTCTCCCTTCTGTTTAACTTTTATTAAAAGAGGTGCTAAGGTACTGTACTGTATGCAGTACATCATATTTATTACCAAAATTAACAAATATACAAAACTTATACATGTAATTTTCTTACATCCATTTATTGGTCTATAATACTGCATTTGTTCAAGTAGGTTATCTACAGTATGTAAACATCCCTTGAATTGACCTCACACAGATTAGGAAAGCCCATCTAACCCATGTAGCTACCAAATATAGCTTTTTCTTTTTAAAAATTTATTTGGCTTTCATTGGTAGAATCTAATCTTCACATTTGGCACATGGAAGAGACATCTACAGTGCAAAAGAGGCAGATTTTCTGGTTTTGTTCTGAACAGTTTAGTGGAGTCATGGTTTTAAGGAGCCAAGAATAAATTTACACGATCCTGATAGGAAATGGATTAGTGTTAACGCCAATGACTTATAGATCAGCCATTAAACTAGAGCAGAAATTCAAAGCCTCTTCCCCAGCCCTCTCAGCCAGGTGGAAAAAAACTCCTCAGCCTTGTTTATGAAGGATTATAAAAGGACTCCGTTGCCAACAAAGAGAGAAGCTTTACTTTACAAAGAGCCTTCCGAGATTCCATTTTCAATTTTCTGCTTTGTGGGATTTTTTCTTTTTTTTTTCTTCCTCTTGTTAGCAAGCAATTTATTTTATTTTTTTTTTCCTTTTTAATGTGGAAAAAATAACTGGTGGGGAACAGATTTTCTCTGCTGGCAATTTCTTAGTGAATTGGAGATTACAGTTGGAGTTCGTAGATCTTTGAACCCAGAAGTACAGAGCTCAGTAAGCTGCCATGTACGAGGGAGAGAGAAAGGGAGAAAGAGAATAAATGTCATTATATTCCAGCTGTGGAGCTTCCCAATTTTGCTGTATGAAACAGGAAAAAACTTTCTTCCTTCTGCTTCACACTGTTTCACAAATGTGACTTAATTTAACTGAGTAAAGCTGATCCAGAGAGACCTTCAGTCGCACCCTTCTTCCCATTCTCATCCAAGTACCGTATTGCTATTTTTTAGGAGGCCTCACTCACGTTCATGGAAGCATTTGATGAGAATGGACCTAACTGGACACCGTTTTGCATGGAAACCCCTCTGCCATTCCTCGTCTGTTACCACAGAGCCCCACTGCTGTCCGTAGCACCGTACATCTCGGCCAGCTTTTTGAAGCGCGGCCCCCAGTCTGTCAGGTAGTCGTAGCTCTGGTCTGAGTCTGTCGTCACCGACTGTAGGGAGCTGAGTGACTCCGCCACCGAGCCATTCCCTTCGAACATGTATGTCTGGAGGGAGTCAAAGGGAGGTGCCCACAGGTCCATGTCAGCTTCGTACAGCTTAGCAAGCACATAGTTGTGGACGTTGTTGTCCATGACGCACGCCTGAGGCACGTATCGGGAGAGGCTCTCTATTTCAGGGAGCATATCCTGCCGGTTTTTCACCACCAACTGGGCCTCCCGCGGGTTCCACATGGCAGCAATATCGAAGGCCTCTGTGTCCTCCTCCCCGCCACCCTCGTCGTCATACCTGACGATGTTCTCGTGGATGTTCTCCTCTTCATCGATGATGTATGGCTGCTTCCGCTGCCGCCGCATGGACAGGATGAGGAGAACCAGCACTGCAGGAGGCAACAGAGAGACATGGGGCCATCAGTGAAGGGGCAGATCTTATGAGGACTTTAGACTCTCTGCTGCCCTGTTTTCCCCTTCATGAGCCCAGTCAGTCCCTTGGATTTAAAGAGCTGTGGTGCTTGCAGGTGGGTGGTGTAGCAATCCTTCAACCCCAAGTCTAACTTAGTAGTGTGAGGTCCTGTTAATCTGTCCCTTTTCCCACCTTAATTCTTAACTCTCAGTGACAAGGCGCGTATATCCAGTGGTGCTTGCGATGCACTATAGCAATACTTGAGCTACTTTGAAGTTAGTCAAATCAGACAATAACAGTTTATCTGTAGTGGCACACAGCTCCATGGAGGTACTTTCTTTTCCTGCTCTGTAACAGGTTTTTGCAGCCTGCTTGCAGCCCCCAACCCAAGGTCTGACTGGCTTGGGGCTGCATGTCACATGGACGGATGGTGCCAAGGCACCATGGTGGTACATTTGCCTACATAGAAAAATGAAGAGCTAGCTCTTTGGCCTCCTCCAAAGGTTTTTTGGTTTTGTTTTACCTGCAACACTCTTGCAGTGCTGCTGTGCTGGTGCTCATCATCCTCTCCGTGCTTCTTAGCATGGGGACTAATGGTCAGACAAGCATCAGACCCCTTATTACTGAAAATGTGTCATCAACTGGTGACTGTATTTCCAGGGCTAGAACTCAGCAAAGGTTTTGAATGCTGAAATTTCCACCTGAGGTACCTAGGCTCCTTTGAACAGCCAGAATTGAGATACTTCTAAAGAATTTTTCCTGTATCTTACTCCACTGTTTCTCAAACTGTGTCCCCTGAAATTTCAGGGAATGTGTGTTTTGAAATAATATCTCATGACTTGAGAGAGTGAATGAGGGCAGCTCTGAAGTTGTTTTGGTACCAACAGCTATCAGGGGACATAGAAAGTCTGGGCAAGAAAGGAATGAAATTGATTTGTAGAGACAGAACACATGCAAGATGCTCAGCCCTTTTATAGCAGCACAGGCACCATTTTAATGTAGTGCCTCAAGGAAAACTTATGGAGGTGGGAATATCTACTGTCAAAAGACAAGAAATGGAATCGGGCTTACCATTCCTGTTTCCTGTGGGAGCACATGATCAGGAACTGCTGAGGATGAGAAAGTAATTTGTCCCCAGCTACAGCTCTCAGGACTTCCTCCTGGCATACCTCTTCCAGGAAAGCAGGGTGATACTAGACACCCTGGCACTTTGGCATCTGGCAGAAATATTTGCAGGCCATAGTTTTCCCTCATTCCTACACCCCAGAGTCTGAAGCTGTATGCAGCTGACTATACCATGTGGCCATCTGGTCCTTTCAGTATGTGTGTGTCTACATATAATATATACATATACATACACATAGATGTGTGTGTGCACCTTCACTTTTGGTTGATCAGCAACCCCCTGGCCAGAGCTGAAGAGTCTGACCTTTCACAAGAAGCCAAGGATTTACCGAGCAGGACAAAGATGCAGGCAAGGATCGCAATGAGTGCCCCTCTGCTCAGGCTGACGGGGAGGACATAGGCCTCTGCATTGCAGGACATCACCATGCCGTCGTCATCGCAGCTGCACACGTGCACAGTCAGCGTGCCTGTGCTGCTCAGCACGGGGCGGCCGTTGTCACTGATCAGGATGGGGAGGTAAAAGGTGTTCTGCTCATGTTGTTTGAAACCAGAGCGCCTCGTCAAAATCCATGCCGTGTTATCTGAGGGTAGAAAATAAATGGAGAGAAGAGCTTACATGCAGAGAACATGAATTCAGCAGAGAAGGAAGGTTAAAAAAAATCACCCCTAGACCCACACATGTATTTGTCTTCTCTCTTTTTTTCTTTGGTTTGTATCAATTTGTCACAAATCAGCATTTTGCTTCTGCCTCATTACAGTCTCTTTTCATGCCACAGCTCCAAACCTGCAAGGCATACACACCTTAGGAGCTGCTTTTACCCCTTCTGATATAAAGTGCTCAGAGCAAACTCACAGCCTCCAGATTTATCTAAAGGAGCTTTCAGAAGGCAAGACAGAAACAAACAGTTGAAGGAAACTTGTTGTTGCTGTTTGTTCATGCTCAACATCTTTTCTAGACCTCACTCTTAAGCACTGGCACTGTTTTGGAGATGCTGGTGTATAACCCTTGTGGACATGTTAAGGTACTTTTCATGTTTTTTTATATATGGCATGGTCATCTGCTTGAGTCAACAAAAAGACAAAGGAAAAACCAGATTGCTATTCTAAAGCAGCAATGAGTTGAAAACTTGCAACTAAACATTTTTTTTTTCCGTGCAATACATGCAATTTCATTGGCACTTTTGCCATTGAAAGAAGCCGGAATGCTTTATGTCATCATTGTCAGAATTATTCTGCTTTGATATGACCATTCTTCTTCATTTAGTGTAACTGCCTGTTTTTTATATAAATCAAAAGGAATCAAAGTGATGCTGCTATAAAAAATAGTAAAAGAGTGACCTAACAGTCAGTTGCTGTTGGTCATTTCAAGCAAAATTCCTACCTTTGGGGCTTCTTCTCCATACAGCATCTTTTTTAAAATGTCAGAATTTCCCACTGGCATTTGAATTCCTGCCTACCCTCTCCCTCAAATTCCTCAGACTGCACCATGTTTCCTAATGAGAAAGAAACTGAACTCAGGAATTTGTTCTTCTCATTTCTCATCACAAGAATGCCTAGACAAAATCTTTGGAGATCAGTGATGATTTTTTAGTGCTGACTTTCAAGCTTCTTGGCCTCAGAGACTTTTGGAAAGCATAAGACTGGATGTTGCCAATGTGAACTGGGCCACCAGGGAGTCAAAAGGAACCTGCAGGAAAATTGGATCTTCTTACAAACATGTCTGTGAATCTTGGTCCAGCAATGATAAATGGGGAACACAGTTTTTCTCTTTGGCAGACCTACTTGACCTGACCCCATGCAGTGATGCTGTGGGATTTTGGGAGCTGATTTTCAAGCAGTTTCTTTTACCACTTAGTTTTGTTTCCTGTTTCCTTGTTTCAAGAGAGGCCATAGTTGGGCCACCTTCATCTCCAGGTTGTTACCAGTGTACATCTACTAAGCCTGGAAATGCAGGATGCCAATTGCCTTTTCACAGGTGGGTTGGCACAAAGCGGCTGCAACCCAGAAATGGCAAGAAACCTGATCACAAGTGCCTGCATTTATACTGTGTGAATGGAAATGTCTATGTCACCTTAACAGTGTACTAATTTGGTTGCTTTTCTCTTTCCTCGGTGAAAGACTCACTCTCTTTAAACTGACTTACAACAGGAGTAACAAATTCTATTCTATATCTAGGTGACAAAATAATCCTCATCTTATGTGAAATCGCTCTTTGTGAAGAAAAAAAGACTTCATTATTCTGAGCTGATCACACTTTGCCTGTAAAAGAAGTCAAAGTCAGTAAATCTGGCTGAAGCTGTGCAAAATTAGCTAGTGAGAGATCTCAAGCGTTTTTAACTGTAGCGTTTTCTTTTCAAGCCAAAAATCAAGTCTCTATAATGAAATAATAATAATAATTTTATACATACATATATGTATTTTTGCTGTGATATGCTGAACGTATCAACCACGTCTTAAATGTTCTTGGTGATAAAATTCTCCTGGTGACTCTCAGCATTACATTTCATCCTTTTGTTTTGTTTTGCTTTGCAACAGTCAGGCATCCAAATCATGCCTAAAGAATCGCTCTACCTGTTACTTTGCAACTGCAATATGTTGGTGCCAAAGCTTGTTGTGTGACTCATCAAAAGCTAATGTGATTTGATGTACTACTGCAGTGTGAAGGACATGCTGGGCTGTGGTGCAGCATGGCAGAAAAAGGAATACACAGTTTTCTTCCAAATTTGATATCTGCTAAGCCTCAGCCATCAAGAGAATAGGGCTTGTGAGGACATGAAAGCCCCATTATATAAGAAGAAAAAAAAAGCAAGCATGATAAGAATGGACAACATTTTTGCATCACAGCTTCCAACACAGTTCTTTGGCTCACAGAAGGCTGGATAGTAGCACTGAGCAGAGATAGTAGTGCTGAGCTGGATAGTAGTGCTGAGCACAGATACTGATGATCACAGCATAGCTGGTCCTGTGACTGTGTCATTATGAGGAGGTGAAAACTGTACTTCCCGCAGGTGTACAGGCTGATGTCTTTATGTGGTTGTGAGAGCAAGCTGTGAAACATCTCTTTCCTGCAGCTTTCTGCCCCACTGAAAGTGGTGTACCTCCCTGGAGAGGTGAGGGGATTTAACCACTGTGTAGGTCCAAACACTGAGATCAGAGCTAACCACCACTCTTCTTACAAGAAAGGCTTGTTTTCTTTCTGTGTGCATCTGTACAAGAACAGGGGATGGTTACTACAGAACTTCTGTTAGTTTTAAAACCTAATTGTAATAATTATGAATATAGGAAAACATGCAAAGAAATATTTCACCCAGAGTGGGATAAAAAGCACAAGGAAACAGGCATAACAGATGCTACTGGCTTGAGAAAGGGGTCACATTTTTTCGTGGGGATTTTCAGCTCACTGCTTTTGCTTTCTGCTGAAGTGTGAGGTAGATCATGGCTTTAGGGGAGGAACAAAGAGCCCTGAATTTTCTAGGAGAAGTTTAAACACAATGGGGAGGACCGCCAGAGGCTTCTAATAATGGTTCTGGCTGTGGTATGACACTGAAATCTGCACCCATGAAAATGTCTGCTCTCTTCATCAGTTCACCCAAAGATGGAGGCCAGCAGTTAAGCGTCAACAGAAGATCAGCTCAGAGTTTAACCTGGAAATGCAGGAAGATTATTTTGTTCATCCCATTCTTACATCAAGTCTCTTTTGCCAACTTTTCCCTAGCATAATCTCAGTAGATTTAGAATCAGGCAGAGATGGCTTGACAACATCCTACATGAGTAACCAAAGAGATGGGAGACTTCAGCTCAATTCCCTGCTTTATCACGTATATCCTACGGGGCCTTGGAAGGTCATTTAGACACAGATCTTTGCAGATACATGTCTATCTCCCACTGATTTTAATGAGCTCAAAGGGAACTAGGCATGTAAGCAGCTTAATTTCTTTTTGCCCTGGATCCCCAACTGTAAAAATGGAGAACAATAGGATTTCTCTGTCTACCAGAAATATGTGGAGAATAAATAGACTGAAAAAGTTCTCAGAGACTAAAATGACAAGGGCCAAAGAAATATGTAAAACAGCTCATCAGAATGCAAAGTGTGATCTATCTGTTGCTCAGTATAAACCAAGGTTTTAATTGTGCCGGGAAGGCTTCATGTTTTGCAGTTTCTCCTACTGCTATATTGGACAACCAAGTAATCAGCACAATTGCAAACCTTAATAGCGCCTTCCTGCAGCCTGAGAAACATTGCTGTCTTGTGTTTACATATGGACGCCGTGACTAGCAAGAAGGCTTCTGTTTCTTGTCTTGCCACCCTTTGACATACAATATAGCTATCCCCTCTGTGACTATGTCATATGATTTACGTAGTCCTTAGTGGTCTCTAGCTGAAAATATAAATATAAATTATTGTTACTGAAATGACTACTGCACTCCAAATTGCTGAGGCACTAAATTTATCCTTAATGTGTATATTTCAAATAGTCAGTGGTTTGATACTTTACGTTTTTTATTTCAGGTCTGTAACCCATAGTACCCTAAGCTTCTTGTGCTGCATATCTCTGGAAAACTGATATTTTACAGAGAGTGGGAGGCACAGCCATTCTGTCATTGCTGTCACTATAAATTATCAGAAGTATGGCCTTAGACAGAAAAAGTGCATCTGATGCTGAGAATTTTGTTTCTTTTTTTAGAACAGTGCCTTGAGGGTGAAATGAGCCTAGTTTGCAAAATGTTTTAGCAATAGTTGTGTTTTATTTGTTCACTTATTTTGGCAATATATATTCAAAAATAAAAAGAGGGAGACAATAGGAGAGAGACGGGGATAAAAATGCAAGAAATCCTGTGTGGAGGCTTCAGGGACACTACAGAAAAAAAATGAGGTTTGGGATGAAAAAATATTAGTGTGCAGTATAGGAGGGTTCCAAACTTTGCAAGTAGCATGTTTTAATAGATGTTTGCAGGGGCTTCTTTGTTAGCCTCTGCATTACTTTTTTATATGCCTGCAGAGGCACAGACAGGGGCTTATGGAAATACGTGCGACAAGCAGGCAAGTGTGGGAGCAGGGGCAGGCACAACGCTTGGAGGCCAGCACAGGTGCTGGAGGTGGCCAGTCTTTCTGCCCATTTATTCTGGAATCGCTGCTGATCTGCTATACTTTACATACTAGACTTCTACTGAAATCCAACCCCTTCATATTGGCTTTCAAAGCTCTGCACCAGGTCACTCGAAGTCCTCCCTCTTTCCCCATGAAGGATGTTGTGGATCTGACCTAAGCACCAGTACCTGCCTGTGAAGATCTTCTATCAGCAGCAGTCATGCAAAGGCTTGCCAAAGTGGGGCTTTCCTGCATGGTCTAAGCCTGTCAAAGTTTCCCTCGAAGAAGTAAATTCTGCTGGTTAGGACACTCACGTGCCAGCACTTTGCCATAAGTCTTCTCACTGGTGTTTCAGTTTATACTTAACAGATCTTATACAGACTTTAAGCTGTATACCGTTATTCCCCTAAAGCTCTGCATATTCTTCCCTATCTCCTGCCCTTTCCTACAGAAATGAGGATGCACAAAAGAGGGAGAAAAAAAGTGCTTGGGGGAAAAGACTAGAACAGTACTAGAACCTTCCCTTTCTGTGCCTGGGAGAAAAACATGAAAAGTACAAAAAAAAAAAAAAAAAAACGAAAAAAAAACCAGGAACAACATAATTCCCTTCAGATATGTCTCCTAGTTCTAGCTGCTGTCCTACCTTTAAGCACCTCCTTTTGAATCAATGCAATTTCCACTCTGTTATCCAAGATGCCTGCAGCCTGGCCACAAGATCTGAATTTGCACAAAACTTTGGCACATTTCATCGAAGAAGAAAAAGGGGTCTATTTCTAGAGAATATTTATAAAGAAGAAAATACCATATAACCTTCAAGTGTATTAAGTAATATGTCATTTTATTGCTGCATTTAAGGGAACAGGTGTCACTTGGTATTATTTGAAATGGCAGTCTTATCACACAGTGTAAGTCACAGCCTCTCAAGTCCAACTCCGGCATTAGAAATTAGAGTATATAACTGTCTGTGTCCACTCTGATTACCTTGATTGTCCCTTAGAGTAAAGTTGGGGTTGTTAGCTGCCTCCGGAGCCAAGCTATAGTAGAAGTGCTGACCATCCTGTGGGTCATCCCTGTCGATGGCACTCACTGTCTGGATCAGCTACAGGGTATGATAACAAAGCAGAAACAGTTGAGAAGCAAAATATATATAATATGAATAGATATCATATACATTTATATATATAAGCAAATGGAGCATTTGAATGAAACTGTCTTGCAGATATACAGTAGATAAATCAAAGAGACTCAAAACCTTACAGGCTTCATATATTTTGCTATGATCATGCAAATCACCTTTAAACAAAGGAAATAGTTGGTTTGCTTCAAATAACAGACACTTTTCTCTCATGCACCCCTATCTTTTGTTGCACATTTATTTTTTCAGGGTGTTCAGAAGACACATTGTGCATTAGAGAGCTTGTAAGAAGTCCATGCTTATTTTCAACTTCATTTTGCAGGTAGAAAAGGATTCAGGTTAATTATTTTATCACACTTAATTTTAAATCAATTAAATTCTTTCCAAGTTGTCAGTGGAAAAGAGAATGAGTAAAGGCAACTATGCAAACACTCTGCATGTGCAATATATAACATCGTGGAAAGAAATTAAGACAATGTTAAATCCATAAAGAGGTTTGTCAGCTCACCTATAGAGGCTTAGTAAAGTAGGTCTAACAGCTTGAAGCACAGTGAGCTATAGCTCTGCCTGAATAAATATTCTGACATCTTTTTAGACAAGGAATAAATCTTCACCTGGATTTTTGCATTCAGAAGTTATTTTTGAATTCAAAGGTAAATGACAGACCCATGAAGTCTTGTTCATCACCTTAAAAATTATTTCAGAACTTTTCAGAGTGGAAACAGAAGCTGTCCTTCTTCACATAAAGAAATAGTCTAAATTAGACTGCATTTCTCAGAAAAGTTATTATTTAGGGCACTCATCTTTCAAAACCAGGAAAAAAAAGTATGCAATGATTTCTATTCCCTGTACTTCTAAGATCTTCTGTAAATTAAGGAGATGAAATTACCCTATATGTGATAGTTGTGAGACAGTTGTCCCAGCAGTGAGTAGCTATTTCATTCTGCTTCACAGCAAGCTGGAAGAAGCCTCAGTGAACACACGGCAATATTAGTAGCATAATTTTTCCTTCACAAGTCATGAGTGATGTGTCTATATGTTTAAACTATGCTAGTCAGGTTTGCACTAGGAGACACAAGTCTCCACTGTGGACCCTCGGTGGCAAAGCACCCAAATTGCCTCCCTACAAGCAATCAGCAGTAGAGCTCACACCAGCTCCAGCGAGACAGAGATCATGTCCATCTGTGACAAAGGCAGACCTTATTCAAGGGGTTTAATGGGCTTTTAGATGGGAGAGGAGAAAAAAGGCTTCACTGCTTGGTTAGACGTCCTGGTTTCCAGTGTGTGGAGAGGGAAGTCCTGTGTTGTCCATGACTCTCTGTCCCAGCAAAACGGGTTCAGCTTGGCTCCCCTTTGAAGCTGATGTAGTTTGTTCTGCTCAAATCCCACAACTCCAGGGTGCTTAAGGCTCTTATAAACAGGGTCTTTTAACAGTAAGCCTTGTCTGCCACAGGCAGGCTGAACTAACTCCATGGCATTGCTCATAACACTTCTCTCTTTGTTGCTGCTACCAGACACACTGGATGTTTGCCTGATGGCACCTGCCCAAAGGAAGGCTTAATTTCAGCCATGAAGCATATTGTGCAGTGATCCTGGAAACTACTGAGGGAGAAAAAAGAGGTGCTATGTATGATGCTAATCCTGGTGTGATGTACTTGCCTTTGGAAAGCAGCATAGACAGCTGTTGACCAGAGTTCAGGTGAAATGTGTGGTTAGCTGAACCCTCTTTTCAATGTTCACCCTTTCTGATATGCTGCCTTTGTGTAGGACCGCATTCCCTCCCCAGACCCTGGCATTACCAGTGTTTCTCACCTGCCCTGCTTTGGCATTTTCACAAACAAAAGCTTCATAAAACCTTGCAAACTCCGGCGCGTTGTCATTCACATCCAGGACTTTCACTGTCACGGAGACGCTGCCCACCTGAGAGGGGTTGTCTGGAAGGAGGAGGTACAATGTAAAGAAAGGCAGCGTACAGGAAGGGGAAAGGGCTGCTCCTCACCTTGCTTCAGAGGTAAAGCAGTTTTTCGGGTACTGACTCATGTTAAATGGTATTTTCCCATAGGGAGCTGTGATTGCTGCGGCTTGTGTGACTCGGAGTGAAGCTGCAAATGCATCTCTCTCTAGCCTGGCTTCCCATCTGATCACACCTTTTCAAAAAATTCCATGAAAACTTCAACCTGGTTTGGTCCAATGGGACTATTTCTATAACAAAGTTTTAGACAATGCCCAGTATTTTGTTTTTTACTGTCCCTTGATTGGGCAATAGTATTTGTTAAGCTTCTCTGCTGGTGGCACAAATTAGAAAGGGACTCTTTTAAGCATAGGTTTGTGATTCAGATCTCATTGAAAGTGGTTATTCTGCATTTTATAATTTGCTTAGAATTTATGTTCCTTGAACTCACGAATGCTGTCAAAGTTTTGTTACTTTGTACAGATAGGGTTAAAAAGTAGTAACACATGAAATTGTACAGAAAAGCTTTCACTGAAGCTTAAAATTGCAATGAAACGTTTGCATTCTGTATTCCAGCATTTATGATGTTTCTGTCCCACTGGTTCATTAGCTTTCTTTGCCAGTAAATCCATACATCATTTCACATATCTTCACAATTTCCAAACTAAGTGTCCACAAAATTCTTTTTTACTGTGTTTTTTCCCCCCAGACATTTTTTTTCCTTTACTTACTGATAAAACACTGAGCAGAATGGAAAAAAAAAAAGGAAATTCATTATTATGAGGTCAGAAAAGGTGCAAAAATCCAGAAAATTCTTAAAAAAGAGTATTCTCATCTTCTTTTTCACCATACCACTTTGTGCATTTATCTCCAAATAGATCTCCCTTGATAACAGTAACTGATATGTTCATATAAACAATAGAGAATTTTCTTATTCCATGGAATTTTCTTAAATGTTCAATGTACCGTATCTATAACATGTGTCACATTGTATTGAGGTAATACTCTTAAACTATATTTTTGTTTCCTTAATTTATAATTTAATCTTTCATCTTCCTACATATCCATACATATCTTGCTAACACACCTGTCATTGTGTCAGATGAATATCTGCGTTTACACTCTTAGCAGTATTGATCTAACTTTTAAATGTAGGAGCTTTATTCAGAAGTGCACAACTATGACGTTTTTACAGGTATTCACTAGACTAAAATACTGTGTTGCACATGTACAGATCAAAACTGACAGAGGATTGATGGAGGATGAGTCAAAGGAAGACATGCCTTCATATTGTTCTCACCCTTGAGTGCTGCTACAGGGGTAGCTTTTACAGACTTGTGTGTGTATTTGGATTTACATGGAATTGCAATGACTACTGGTGACTGAAAACAAAAACTTGCATCAAAATGGATGGGGGTGAGATCCTATCATGTCACCAACTCCTCACTAGTAAAAAGGGGACAGAAAAACATCATGTTCTGGAACAGCCTGCAAACATAAGGCAGAGTCACCCTGACTCTTGTGAAACCTTCTCTTTACTAACCTCAAGTTAGCTGATGCATTTTTGGACAAGCTTCTTGAAACTTTTTTCTTCTCAAACTGCCCTATATCTCTGGTCCAGCCTGAATGTGCAGGGAACTCTCTCAGACATGAGGAATGATGCCGCTATTGGCAGCAAGCTTCTGAAAAGCTGCTGCCCCTCAGCAGATGCACTGAGATCCTGAGGGAAAGCTATACGGACCAGAGAGATTTCTGGTGAAGACTGGGTGAAGCTTTTGTTTGCTTATATCCCCCAAACTGCTTTATGAATCTCACATCTATTAGTATTTCAAGCTCAGCTAAATTTTTCATAGAGACACTACAAAATAATCAGCATCTCCTTGCTCTCAAAGCCTAGGTAAATGCTTAGAACAGACGAATCCTGAGCTGAGTTTTGGTTTGCTGTAAAGCCAAAATGCATAATGAATTTAGCATTCTGGCCCAAATTATTTATGCAGCAAGCAGATGGTGATGACCTTTACTTGGTGCTGAACCAGAGCAAATTTCAGCTGGTGACCTAGTAGTGCAGGATCACTTCTGCCTACCAGTCCCTGCACCACTCAATCCTCCCAGGTAGGACTGGCAGCTCTGGCATTTGTGCAGCATATACAATATCTGCTTTAGCTGCCTAGCCCTTCTGAAGAGACAGAGCTTTTGCAGAAACACATCAGAAAGTGTTTCAAATAAATCCCTGGAATACTAATGAATTGGAAAAGCAGTGCTCTGCATTGAATTGCCAGCCTCTACTCCTCCCACCATCCTGTGAAAGGGAGCACAAAAAACAAATAAAATGCAGTATTTGCTTGTCGATGTCAGAAAAGTAATTCAGTTAACACGGCTTCCTACTCAGTGCATAAGAACATGTGAACTGCTGAATCTGTCTCTCAGCCTACTTTGTCTATTATATCTTTTTAATCTATGTACGGTTTGCATCCTCCTTACTCAGCTCCATGGCCAGCACAGTGATGTTGTGCCAAGAAACGTCTTCCCGATCAAGAGGTCTTGCAGTCATCAGTGCTCCTGATGTAATGTCGACATAAAAGAACCGCCCTGGATCGCTGCTCCTGTCAATTGAGTATCTGCAAGAGTACATATCAAAAGTATTACGCAACCCTTGTGAAAACTGTATGTTATAGCCAACAAAATACCCCAGCAATGGGAACAATGTCATACCCAGGAGATCCACATTCTTCCACAACCTAGTTATATGCTTCATTGACTTGTATAGGTAAAGTCAGCTTCTCAAAAAACTAGTTCATGTGGCTAACAGCATTTAATGGCGAGTACTACTTGGATGGAGCTGGAAGACAGGAAGATTCAGAGAAAGAAGCCTCAAAGCAAGGCACAGCTCAGCACAGGAACATCTGCTTTACAGAGAAAATCTGTCAGTGGGGAGTGTGATTTCTTTTTCTAAGCAAAATAATTATGCCCTTTCCTTGGGCATGACTGAGAAAAAAATGAAAACTACTTTACTCAGATCATTCTCTGAGCACCTTATGCTGACAAGGAGGAAATGTTCCCTTCTTTTTGCTTTTGTATTCTCTCCTCCTTCAGGGGGTTAAACTCCACCTGCATCCTGAACCATCCATACTGATTGAGCCATGTCAACTGAAGGGGATGATGAATGGCTTTCTCATATCATTCAGCTAGAAAAGCAGCCCCTTCTGTGAGGCTGATTCATCATAATTGCTGAACCTGCCTGGTTAATATTATGTCAGTTTAATGCTAGGAATAAGCTTTTTGTATCCATGAGCAAGGAAATGTGGTGGTACCTGAAGGCCAGAAAACTTGGGCAGGGAGTCAGCTGATTGACAGCTGTCACTGCTGTACTCATTCAGTCAGAGGGACCATTTTGCAGGGTGTGTAAAATTCTCAATACCTTTCATATGCATCACCTTGCTCTTAACAGCATTTTGCACGAGTTGCCTTCCTAGCAAGCTATACTCATCGTAAGAGGTCCTTTGGCAAAAGCCACCCACAAACCTATGTAAACATCACAGCCTAGAAGACAGCCCAGACTTATCCTCATTTTTGCTGGTTCTTTCTTTGAAGTTGATGGGAAGTGAAAACATTAATCATAACAGACTCTGAACAGGGCTTGTTCTTCTGAATTTTCTCCTTTCAGCACAAGTGCATTGACTGGAACAAGCATGCCAGCCTGATCTTTATATAGGGATATAAAATATTATTGGGCTGTGTTGTTGGGTGTCGTGGTTTTAACCACTGCTAAACCCAGGACATTGGGAAATTCTTTTACAATTTTTTTCCAGAAAAATCAAAGAAGGTGGGATATCAGGTTTTCTTCCCTTTCATTTCCAGTCCTTCCCATCCCTTCTTAAATAGATTTCTGAGGCCTTTGATTTATTTAGGAAATAAATACGAGTGTTCCTATATTTAGCTATAACAATTATTCTTGTATGAGAGCTATAAAAAGAATTTTTCTCTGACAGTTTAAGGCCAACAAGTATCTGAAATTGCATATGGCTTTGCGATTAAGTGTTGAAGTATTAATCACAGGTGTCAAGAAGCACAGGTGGAGCCTCTGTCTGGATTCTCCATGTAAGTTCTCCTGCTAATAACACCTGCTCCTTCACACTTGTTTCCATTGTATTCTTTAGGTAATCTTCCTGAATCACTTAACAACAATCATGGTATATTTTCAGCCATTATAATTTTACAACGTGAGAGTCCAGAAACTGGATGCTGGGAAAATGAGGATTTGAGAGTTCTCCCATGTTCCCCCACAACGTGTCCTGGATTTTCCATACTGGAAAAAGATGGCAAAAGGAGGGTCAGATCACTGTTTTAATTTCAGATGGATTACAGCTTGTGTAACAAAACATGGGATTTTGGTTTTCTTATATTGCCTTGCCCTGTGCAAAGAGAATGCAAAGCAAGCCTAAAACACTCACAGAATGATACTGCACAAAGCTGTCATGGATGGCGTGGACCACATGACAGGCAAGGAGAACCAATCTTAACATTTGTATTTTAGATAGCATTACAAGTAGTATTTATTCTTCTTTTTTTTTTTTTTTTTTTCCTATTCTCTCTACCCCAGCCATTTACATTTGTATGTACTAGGTGTGGGGGAGGAAGGAGAGAAGGGAGGAAGGAGGAAAGAAAGGAAAGTGGGAAGGGCAGAAACTGGGAAGGAAGAGAGGAAGAAAGTCAGGAAGTGACAGGGTTACAAAGGAGTCCGTGAATATTTGCAACTGTTTTTTTTTTTTTTGTTGTTGTTGTAATGTATCTCTGGTGATGCATTCTGTGCTTTATAGAGTGCTGTTTCATCAAGGATAGTCACTGGAAATCTCTGACGAAAACTAAGAGAAACCTCATTCAAAATAACAATGAACACTTCTGCCTTCTGGTAGTCCACAGAATTACTCTTACACTGTTTTAAGCAGATTAGCACAAAACTGCACTGCAGTGTTTTGATAATGCTAGACAGTAATCAGCAAAATAGGATGCAAGTGAAAAAAGGTTTAGGTTAATGAAATTGTGATGTAGACAGTATAATACTTAGTTTTATTGAATAATTTGAGACAATATCATGAGAAGTATGGTAACCTTATAACATAGAAAAGATAGGTGTATTAAAATAACAGAGATGAAAAACTAATTAGAGCAGCAACACAGGAAATGACATCATTAAGAAGAACAGGTTCTGTGTCTGCTCCGATCTCCTACGTGAAGCCCAGAGCTGCTCATATAGATTTGACTTTCTTCAGAAACTCCAAATATTTGATGTTTCGACTCCCTCCTGCATTTCCCATGCCTGTTCCTGAACACAGACAATTCAGAAGCTGGATTGACCCAAGGTTAGGCAAACTGCAGCTGAAAACTCAGAGTGTTTCTCAGATGAGAGAAGCAGCCAGCCTGCTGGGATTAACTTGCAGTCACTTGGAGCTTTTGCAGGTAGTGAAAATTAGTATGTGTGCTGGCCTTGGAGAAAAACTTATCTTCTCTGATAAACTGGGCTGACCTGGCAGCTACTATGGAACAGAGCGCTGTGATCACACAAATCTGCTCCTTTGGCTCCTTGCTGAATTGCAGCTACAAAGCTCCCATGGTTGTAAATACACCTTTACCTTTCTTAACTCCATATGGGAATATCTAGCTCTGTAGCTTTAACCAGGCACTATACAATTTAGTGGTTCATGAATATTTATTAGTATGCATTCAATATACTCTAAAAGTAGCTGTGTATTTGAGCTGTTGACAAAGGCAGGCTTTGAATCAGGAGGGGCAGAAAGGAGAAGTAAGTTGGTTACCTTCCCCCCTGGTATGGTAGCAGACTCTTAGTGATGTTGTCAGGTTTTGTGCCAGCAAAGGTATGACAGCATGCGGTTTGTTTTCAATGTATCCTACCAGGACATGCCTGACCAGTTTTTTGCAGTACTAGATGCAGAAGTTCTCTATACCACAGAAAAGGCATCAGTGAGCTCCTGCATTGCTTTGACAGTCATAGCAGAGCCCCTCAGTGTGTGAGATCTGGTTTGGATAAACCTACTGACAACTACTACTGGCTAAAAATGAGTGAGTTCCAGCTGAGCTGTTTCATCATTGCCTCACCAACCATACATATTAGGGAGCACATGGGGGAACACACAAAGACAGGACAGACCTGATGGAGTTGTTGGTCACATCTGGGTCCTTGGCAATAATGGTCTGTATGGTGGTTCCAATCTCCACATCCTCAGGCACTTCCACGAAGTAGAAGCTGGGCTCAAACACAGGAGGTTCATCTACGTCCTCCACAGTGATGTGGACGGTGGTGGTGTCGCGAAAGGGACCAAGGTTCAAGAACCGCATTTCCAGGTGGGGGTTGGCACCCTCTACTTTCAAGGTGTAGCTTTTCTTGCTCTCAAAACTTAAAGGCTGAGTAGGAAAACAACAACCAGAGTTAGGCAAACTGAGCCCTGTGATTTAGGACATATAATTTTAATTTTCAGCAGTAAAGTTACCCTCTAATATAAACTGATGTTTCTTTTTTAAAGTAGATATTTTCTTAGATTTTTTTAATCATATGGCTAACAAAGGTAATTATTTGCAGATGGAATAAAAGTATTGAATGAAAATAATATTAGAAGTAGTACATTATACATATTTTTTTTTTGACAGTTGAACTGAACAAACCAGTAGAAATATTTGAAGACCAGAATACGTATTCTTTCATTCTTCTTGCTGAAAGGAAAGTAAAAGCAGCCACAAGACCACTGTTGTGATCGGTAGAGTGTGTTTCATGCCACTCTGAGGAAAATACATGTAGAAACAGACAGTAAAGGAGCACCTGGAAATAAGTGGAATAGGAAGAGCTGGTTCCTCAAAATGGGTCCAGTGTCAGGGACAAGGATGCTAACGCACGAGACTGAGGCACCATTTAGCATCCTTTTTTCTCTGTACGGAGATCAGTCTCCTTTTCAGAGAACCCTCTCTGCCATGCTGCTGAAGGGCTCCAGTGGGAGCAGGGGACATGATCAGCCTCTCTTGTGGAATCCTGTTCCAGTTTTTATCAGTAATCCATCCTTCCTAGAAGTGGGGTTTTTCATGTCCTCTCAGTAAGTGTTCTAAACACAGGTTCACAATCCAGGTGTGCCAAGTGCTAGGATTTGAACCTCCTCCCTGACTAGAGTATAGTTTAATTTCAAAGCATTATGAGGTACCCCTGACCTTTTCCTACAGCAGCTCTTCTGGATGAAATACCCAGATATTATTTGAAGCAGGGAGTGGGAATAGCTGTTTTTAAAAAAAAAATTCCTGAAATAATGAATAAACGGGGGTAGCTTCCTCTGCTGGTGGTTTCATGAACTTGATTTCCCATTTAGATGAAACTACTTATTTTGTAAACACGGATATAGAAATAATTAATGCTAACAATGGACCTCTCAATAAACACATTTTTAATCTTCCTTCCCTCTTCTTTTTACAGACCCTTGAAGAAAATAAGACCTCTCCAAACCTGCTTACAACTAAATAAAGAATTACGTATTTAAGGTGCAAATTACCAGTCTTGATAAGAGATGACTAAAAGCATCTGACAAACAGAAAGACAGTATGGGAGGATCAGTCCAAAATATACAAAAAAAATTAACCAGGTGAGGTACAGCTTACAGAGGACAGAGTCAGACTTCCCAAGATGCAGTTGGAAGTTACATGCAATGTGGCTAGTTGGTCACAACCCTTTACTTCTGTGATCTGGGCAGATTCAATGCTGAAAACCAGCAAAACTTGTTCCCCTTAGCTGGAAGAGATCTTGATCTAGGCAACTTTGTACCAGGAAAGAAATGACCCAATTCTCGGGGTTGCCCAGTGGGACATACTCCTTTTTGTTGCATTAATGGCTTTCAAAACATGTGGCTCGAGCATCATGTGTGGAACTACCATGCACAGCCTTATTTCATTTGGACTATAGTCAGATCACTGCTGTTGTTCCCATCCAACACCTTTGCTTTTCTTGGTCAGCACTTTGTTCATGAAGTCCCACCACCAGACTGGGACAAGGAGATGGGCAGGAAAATAATGAAGAAAGAGAATGCCAAAGCAACTGGAAGTCAAAGCTGCAAAGATCATTCCTGTAGCAGTGAAGTCCTCCTCGGCCTTGGCCAGCTGCAACCCATCTCTTTTCTGCCCTGCTCAGTAATGCAGTCGGCCAGTTCTGCAGCCATGAAGTGTATATTAGTTTAAGCAACCTCAGCAGAAGTTTCACATGCTCAGGCATGGCAGAAGTATATCCTATGGGCCTCAAAATGAACCCTAAATTCAAGGGAGGCTTCAGTACTTCTCTGCTGCCACAACAGCTTGTTTCTTGAGAAGTGGAAACATTGCAGTGACATACAAAAGCTCATGCTTTTGCAGTAAAATTGCCAGTGCTGATGTTCTCCATAAGAATGCCTGATGAAAGACTGGAGTTCTTGAAATTATAAACCTAAACCTCAGAATTCAGGACATGGAGGCGAGAAATGAAAACTGGAATGGGAATTGGTTTTCTTGTGCTGGGGAGATGACAGTCCAGTATTACTGGAGATTCTGTGCAGTGATGTAGTACAAACTGTGCAACCTGTGGCAGCAGGTGCAAAGAGATGAACTGAAAGTTACTCAGGCTGCCCTTAGTTCCACCTGGTAAATCAGTGACTACTGCAGGCATAGCACTTGTCAGCAAAGATTTATCTAGATCTACAAACGTATTATCCATTGCTGAAGAGCTGTTATGGTCTACCAGTTGCATATTTATGCATTGTAAAAATAGCAATAAAATAAATTCACATGATCAAGCAACACTTACAGTCCATCTGTCAAGGAATGTGCAATGCAAAGCTGCCTAAACATATATTAAGAAAGAGGCCATTATATTTCATGGCTTCTCAGAAAACTGCATGAGAAACACTGCGTGTACACTAAAAAGCTAAGTTGTTAAAAGAGCAGTTAAATCACAGAAACACTTACTAGCTATAAAACCCAACTACATTATGAAAAGACATAATCACCTGGAATGATCAAGTTAGGCAAATGAGATAAATCAAACAAGTGTGCTAGGCAATCGTATTTTTGATGCTTCTGCATTCAGACCCCCTCTATTTGCCCTCTTCATCAGCCTTGGCTTTCTCTCCAGAGATCCTTTCACGTGCCAACGCGTCAACATCACTGCCCCCCCAGTTTTGTCTTCCACAGGAACGTTCAAACCTCTTTCCAACAGTGGCACCACAGGGAGGGTGAGCGGGTTGCCTTCGACAAACTGAGCATTGTAAAACACAGCTGAGAGGAAAGGCAACCAGTGGAAACCTCTCCTCATCCTCCTTACCCCAGTGCTGGGACAGACACTGAGAGATGTGCCGTGCAGGAGGGATTTAGCTGTAAGAAGTGATTGACTAGGAAGGAAACACTGGGTTTGGTCCTGGCTGAGTGACCCACCACCCTGCTCCTATGGGCAACGTGGCAGCACAGGAAGGGAGAAGGGGGGAAACCTCACTGCAGTGACTATCAGCCTCACAGGGAGGGAGCTTGGAAAGGGCTGTAACTCTTCAGGAGGTGATCAACATTTTTGGGATTAGTGGGCTGTAGTAAGTGGCCACAAGACTAGAAGCAGTGTTCTTATCTGTAACTGTAAATTCTGACATTTTGATGCCCATGATAGAAGTGTTAGTTATTTTGCTTGGCAAATCTGTCTAGAAAAATGAAAGGGGAAGTTTTGCTTTCTTTCAAAGATTTCATTCTGGGTTTAGAAATTCTTTCTCTCTCTCCCCACTCCCCCCACTCCCCCCATTTTGATATTCAGTTGAATTATTCTTTTCTTAAGTGGATAAAAAGCTCAACTTTCCCAATGTTTTGATATCGATGATCGTAACATTACAAAAAAAAACTACAGGCATATATAGAATTTTACAAACATTTATGTATTGAGCAGTATGTACCTGATGCCAGTACATACCAGGTATGATTGATGCTGTAAAAGTTTATAACTCCTCCTCCTAACGTACATAAACATCTAGTAGAACTGTATTCATAATAACAAAAGTCAAGCTTATTGACACATTTACTCCAAACAAACAATTTTCTTTCATCAATAAATTAGTGAAAAATTACTTTAGAGATTGCATTCAACCTCTATTTAATTCCAGCAAACTTATTTAACTTTAGGGACTAGTGCTCAGGAGAAATGTGACAATAAATACATGTTTAAATACTTTGCTACAGGGCATAGAGGCTTGTAGGGTCAAATCTCTGCCATGTGCTCTTCCATTTTAGTGCACAATTTAATCCCAGGCTATTTAAATGGAAAATATACTTCCTTATTAGTACACTAGATATGCTTAGGCAGAAATACAGCTATAATTTCATAGCGTAGAAATAGAGTTGAACTTCTAGCATTTATGTAAGCTTGTAGAATAAATATCCTGTAGCAGGGAGTCTAAGGAACATACTCCATGCCTTTCTTCATAGCCTGCGGTACAGAGTACTAGCAGTTTCACAGCTGCCATTTTAGAGACAGCTTCTTCTAGCCTAATTAGCATTTATGGATCTTCAAGCAGCAATTAAAAAAAAACATGCCTGGGTTTTATTGGTTTATAAATAATTCTAAGGCATGCTTTATTATTGTCTGTGGGACACAGGAGTGAAAAATGTGTACAGTTCAAATGCAAATATTGATCTAATTTCTTGTATTGTAGGATAATTAAGCTACAGAGAATATTTAAATAGACAAATAGCGAATCCGACCATTCCGTCAGTAGGATAAGACATGTTTATGCTAATACTCCCCCACTTTTTAAAGGCTGTTCCTAGGAATGCTGTTTTCACATTTTAGCAATGAATGTAAAAAAAATTGTGTTTTATAGCACAAAAGGGGCTACTGTCACGTAATGGGAACCAAATTACTACAGGCATAAGGGAATGCTGCGCACAAAATGTAACCAGGAATTACATGTTAGCCATATAAATTACTATAAAAAGAAAACTTTACTACCTTTCTCACAGTTATGATGCCAACTTGGTAATTAGGATCAGTGTTAATATCAAAGACATCCAGTCCATCTCCATCCACAAGGCTGTATTTCATCTCTGCATTTATGCCTTCATCCAGGTCTTTAGCAACCACGCGGCCCACAGTGGAGCTGACAGGAGCAGACTCCAGCACGCTCATCTGATAATGCTCTGGTACAAGCAGCAGAGAGGGAGAGGGGAGCAAAAAACAGGCTGTGAAAAGGAACCAAAGACTGTGATGTGAAGTGTAGATCAGGGCAAGCTACAACGCTGCATAGACTGCAGGGTGTCTCCAGTACCTTTCCCAAAGCTGCAACAGCAGTGTGATTTCCTTTAAAAAGCCCCAGCTCAACTGAGTCGTCTGGGAAAGTTTTATTTAGGAGTTTGTCATATCAACAGGTTTGTTCAAAGGGTTCTTTTCAAAGTAGCGATATTACTGAAAAGGGGAACTTCAACTAGAAAAATGGGGCAATTAACACTTGTGCTGTTGAAGCCACAATATAAAGCAGGATATGAAACAGCTTTAATAGGACAGGCATCTTTTATTAGATCAGCTTGTACACAGGGTATAAACACATAGGTTTTGAGCACCACAAATCCTTTCTCAAGTCAGAACAAACTTCTTTTCAACCCTGAACAAGGCTTTGAGAGCTCAGAAGCTTACCCGTTTCTTCCAAATTTACCAGTTACTCTATTAAAATATACTAACTTTCCCTACAATCCCTGTCTTGAGCACATTTGGTGCATCACTAATTTGCTGAGCATCAAGCCTGGGGAAAGAGAGAGCTTCTATTTTGAAAGTATGCTTAAAAATATAGATGTTGAGCCTAAAATACTACTCTGCCATCATACTTTATGTTCAAACCTTCCTTGCTGCACTCTCTCTGTTGGCTCCACCAATTATTGAGCTTTATAAAGCAGGATAACACCTAGGATGGGGTTTAATCTACTCTTAATTTTCTTAATCAAGAGTTTGATATCAAACAGTTGCAATACATGCCACTTTCAAAACAGGTTTGAAAATGGTGTGTTCAACAAGTTGCTCTGACAGAAAAGAAGAACTTGAGGTTTCTTGCTTAATCATAGTGTAATGCTTTGATTTATAGTGCAGCATGCAGAAACAGATGGAGAACAGCAACAACAAGAACTGCAGGAGGTTTTATTTCTCAGCTGGATGAGAAAAAATGGTAAAACCATAATGGCTTGAGACTGATCTATGCCACTGAAAGAATCAGAGTTTTTATTTTTTTAAATAAAAGTATATCCCTTGAAATATTTAGCTCAATCAAACTTGAAAAGTTTCTTTCAAGTTTTAACAATAATGTAGAATTATGTAGATAAATTTGATCTAAACAAATTCAAAAGAAAGAACAAAATATTGCAAATCTTGATTTGAGGATCATTTTTGTAAATACAAAGTAATATTTCTGATAAGAGTGGAGTTGCCTGCTTTTGCATTCCATTAACTATGGCTGTTGCATGTCTTAGGGTTTGACTGTATATTGCTAAGGTTTAGATGAACCTTTTCTGGAGAGCAGCCTGGATGACAACGTACTGTACACTGGCAGCACAGCTACCAGACGCTCCCCTGCAGTGACCTGGCTGGAGTGGTGAATGAATTGTCTTTCAGCTTCCAGCACTGCCACATGTCCCTCATTTGACAGGCATCCTTTTGGAGGTGAGATGAAGAGAGAGTCAGTGCAGCAATCAGCAGCCAAAGGCAATGGCCATAAGCATTCAAGGAACATTAAAGACATCCTTCTTTTCTTTCTCTCTAAATTAGTTTCCCCCTCTTTTTAAAAAAGTGTATTTTTTGTTGATTTTGGAGGTCAGAAACCTCTTCTGAAAGACAAAGTAGTGAATGATCGATTTTGACATTTTTTCTGAAGGAAAGTTCCTTCATCGATTGAAATTCTGCCCATCTCTAATAGTGAATATCGAAAGTCTGAAAATGTGTGCAATGACAGCAAACAGCAGCCAGACAACTCATCCACCCCTTTTTGTCCATCCTACTGCAGTGGGTACTCACTCTGTGGAAATCTGGGTGGGTTGTCATTGACATCAGAGAGGGTGATGTTGACTGTGGTTGTTCCAGCTAATCCTCCCAGCTGTCCACCCATATCCTTGGCCTGGATAATCACTTCATAATATTCTTTTGCTTCTCTGTCCATGTTCATTAGAGCTGTTCTAATTAAGCCTGAGATTGAGGGGGAAAGAGGTTTTGGGAACAAAAGAAATGGCAATTAAAGAGTATACAAACAAGGTGGACTGCTCTTGCTCCTGCATTCTAGTCCCTATGTCAAGAATGAGACCAGGCTCTGCATTCACTCTCACCTTTTCTTGCAGAGTAAAACTCACCCAAATTAAATCTAGGTTAACAGAAGGTGTGAATTTTAAAGAGGCCCAGTTAAAATGCATCAGCTCTGGGGCAGGCTGTCTGTTCAAAATTCAAATGTTGCCTTCCAAGATAGCTGGGAAAACTTTTCAGGAGCAGAGTGTGCTGTGCTGCTTGGGGATCACTGTCAACACAGAAGTGGAAGTTATGGGATTAGTTAACAGATAGATCAAGGTGAGTGTTCCATCGTCCCTACACATGCAGTCCTGGAGGCAAACTGGCATAAGCCCACAGGCTTTGATCGGGACCCTGAGGAAACGCTCTGCGGGTTACGCGAATACAATCTGGAGAGCTGCCGCTGGTTTGGGCCGGGCGGGGGGTGGTGATCCTGCTTCCTCCACCTGCAGAGCCTCCGTGTCCTTCGGGGTAACACTACTACAAGAGAACATGAGGTGGCAGCAGCACTTCTCTCTCGGAGGCTGCGGGGAGCCGGCCCGGGCAGCGGCGCGGTCGGCGCCGTGCGGCGGGGGAGCTACTGCTGCCGAGGCTGTTCCACGCTGCTGCTCGTCCCTGGGGCTCCGCTTGCCGCACCCGCCCGGCCTCCTCCTGCCAGCCATGCTGGGCTTGTCGGGGTTTGGACGCTGCTCTTTGGTTTTCCTCGGGCATCAGATCTGCTAGCGTTTGCACTCCTTTCCCTCTTAGCCGGCTGCCACCACTGAACTCTGCTCATCCCCACAGCTGTCTGCCAGGAAGGAGGCGCACAGGTCTACATTGCAGAGGTGTCAAACCTCGTTCTCCCAGTGTGACCCATACCATCTCAGGAGCTACTTGCCCACAGCACACTGGTGGCTTTCTTGTTCACAGCACAGCTACCCAACGCTGGCTTGGCCACACCAGGGTCCCTGAGCAGAACAGCAGCAGTGGCTGGTGATGCAGCCCAGGTCATGTACTGCCAGGGGACACTTCCCATGGCACTTATGGCCCTTGCTAGACATAGGTCATGACACATTTGGGGTGGCCTTCTATGTGGGGGCAAATATGTGACAGCCCTGGGCATCATCGCAGCTGCATGGCTCAACAGGCAGTACTTGCATGTCAGGACACTATTAACTTGAGTGATCTGCATTTAGTGTTTATTTTTAGCAGGAAGACAATGTATGGGTTTAATAAAAAAGCAGTAAAAAGATATTGCATTGGCAATTATCGCTGTATGCAAGAGAGAAGAAATAGTGACCAGTACTGAATACTTTCCATGGATATAAATAAGATACGAAAATAGTTATCATTTTGGAAAGGATTTTCTTCATATATGAATACTTTTTAGGGTATTTCCACTCTTGTCTTGTCCTTAATACAGAACAGTCTAGATACATGAAAAAAGACATCAGTGCCTAAAAGCCAGGCTTCCCCATGCCTATGTTTGGGGCCCTCTGGTCCCTGCAGAAGGGGACTCAGAACCAGACTGGTGTTCATGCTCTCCCAGATGGGACCCAGAGGGGCATCTGTGCTGATTAAGAAGCCTCTGATGCTGCTGCATGCAACTGGTCAGCAAGGAAATGCTGGAGATGGTGGTGAACCTTAAAACTTTCCTTAGAGCTATGGAAAGGATCAGATCCCCAGATCTTCCAAAGCAAAGGGTGCTGATACCATTGTTTTAATCAAAGTGAGTGAGGTTTTCTATCTTAAAAAAAAGTAGTAAAGAGCAGAGCTAAGGTGATGTCCTTTCTTTTTTGCAACAGCCAGATGGTTTCTTGGGAAGTTGGATACTCAGGGGTTTTTGCCTGCTCTGCCTGAGGGGATTTAAATCCTCCCGTTTTACCTTCTAGGGGATTATGTTCATGGTCAGGCTGTAAAAGTACCCTGAATAAAAAGGAGGAAGAGGCTCTCAGCTTTCCTTTGAAGTTGTACCTTCACATCTACATTTGTTGAGCACCTGCGAAGCCAGTGGCAGAACAGTCATGCTTCTGCAACCAAGAGGTTGTGTCAGGAGGTGAAGGATATGGACACCAAATTCTTCTAGCAGAGGAGTATATTGAAATATGTTGTCCACTACTGGGTGCTTAATCACTACGCTTTAATATAAAGGAGCAGGTGATTGTTTATAATTTAGTTCTGTTTTAGAAGAATGTGAGAGCTGCAATTGCATTTTTTGGGTTAACAAATCCTGTGGGTGTTTTGCTCTGGGGAAGCTGGTGAGAGTATTGTGTTTGTGGTGGGGAAATCACTTCTGCCTCACAACTGCATGTTGTCTAAAAGGATGCCTTGTTGTCTATTTGTAAAGGCTGAGATGCAGGTCTAAGTGACTGGGAAATTGATAAGTGGAGAAAAAGAACTTTTCTGGGTTAAATACCAATGAAGAACATAATTTTGTACTTAAGAGCCTATTTTCGGTCTAAGTTGCACTCTACCAGTTTAATCTGTACTAGGTCTGACCCTGAATATTGCTTCTTTGCTTTCCTAGAAGTCATTCAGTACTCAGCAAATCTATGATTATCTGTGGTTGATAACCTGAAGACAAAATGGACATTACTGTTTTATTTATACTTAAAGAGCTGAGAAAATAGCACGCCGCATACAAATTTGTCTTTGGCTAGAGCACCTACTCCCTAAACCGCTAACTTTTGAGAAGTAGATTATGCAGTGTTGTTCTGCTTTGTCCCCTAGGGCTCAGCAGTGACTATCGTCTCATGAGTTTCTGACCTTAGCACTACAGATGCCCTTTAGAAACTGTCAAAACCTGCCAGATTCCTCTGTTGGATATGAACCTTGGATATACACAGAAAATGAGAGAGAGAAAGCAAAACAGCAAGTGTATCCTATAGATAAATTTAAAGTTATTAACAAGAACACCCTTAGGTAAAACTATGCCAGATAACTTCATCCTTTAAGTTGCACTTTCCAGTCCTGGTTGGTTCATAGGTTACTTTTTTTTTCCTCTAAGCCTTGTTACCATCTAGATGTGCTGAAGACGTTGTTGCAATGATAGATGCCAACAAGAACATATACAGCACCCAACCCATCCAGATCCTGAGCTGCAGAATACAGTCATTCAGATGAATATATCACCGTAGGAAGCCCATCATTCTGGAGCTCATTACCACAGCCTTGCTTTAACCCTCACACAGTACTGCTCTGTCTTGACTCTGAGCTATGTTTCTCTGACCACAGCCACAATGCACTGCCTTTGCTTTCTGCTTGAAACTTTTTCTTTTGTTTTCACACTGCCTCATTCCTTGATTAAATAACATACCTGTCCGAGAGTCCACAGAGAAATATGGTTGTCCTTGGAGAATACTGTACACTACTCTTGCACTGTTCCCATAGGTTGGGTCATCAGCATCTGTTGCTGTCACCTGGATAACAGAGGTGCCTGACAAAAAAATCCATCAGGTAAGACTTTGTGGGATAAAGAGCTGGCATGAAGAGTACAGTCAAAATAAATTGAAGTGCCTAACAAAAGCTTTACCACAGCAAATTTTTTCATTTCATGCTCATAGTTGTTATTGCCCATACTTCTATCTCATTAACATTAAAGGAATTATCAGGCATAAATTCATCATGCATCTATAAGAAGATATAAGAAAGCTAGTAGTCTACGGACTACAGTTACAGAATTGCCAATGTAACAGTACTTTGTTATGGATTGCGGAGGGCTGGTAGTTATTTACTGCTTGCTTCTTTTTCCATTTTTCTTGATTTTAAGTATTATTTAAAGGCAGCTCAAGTAAGATCTATAACTTTGTTGAAATTAATCGTGAGCTGCTATAGCAGGCCTGTGAATGCTGTATGTTGAGTAAGGGATGGAAACCATTTGTACACAAATAGTGAGTGTGAAGGGATGTGTATCTGAGATTATCTCTCTGTGGGACTGCAGTTTACATTGCATGACCTTGAGATTATAACGTGCTTAAGTGCCCTTTGGAACCCGCACAGATGCATATAGACTTATTTTCTTCAGCTGGTTTTCAAGGTCTGCTTCCTCTAAAGCCATTAACGGCTTGCAGAGGGGTTAATTTGTAATGAAAAATGAGAAGGTAAATCATAACTTTGAAATATATGCGAGTTTTGACTCCTTAAAATGTCAGACAATGCCTTTATGAATATACCTAGCCTTCTTCTTAATGTTCTGTGTTAGAAACAAATCCAGCGTTACTCAATATACACTTGAAAATAAATCTGAATTTAATCTAGACATTACCATTAAGAAACACCATTTCTGAATGGAACTTTTGTATTTGATGCTTGTCTCTAGCTTTATGCCAACATAATATTGAAGAATGAGAAGTGAAAGAAGGACATGAGATTTATATGGTACTATCTCTGTAATGACGTCACAGCTAAAAAGCAATGAGCCATTCCAAAAGAAAGGAGTCCAGAAAAATAATGGTTTATGGGAATATTGGATCCATTACATGTAAACGGTTTCTCTTGACTCGAGTAGGTAGGAAGGCTGCAGTTTGTCTTCTGCACTACAGCAACAGGACTGCCTTTGACATGATCTCATTCTCTAACAGTGGAGAGCAAATGGTACCAGAATCTTGGGATCCTCTGAACTGACTTTAGTGCAGGCTTACAGGGATTAGAAGGTGCAAATCTCCTATAGTTGTTGTCATGTCTCCTGGGCACTACTTCAGCTCTCAGTATGAACTAGAATAGGTTCTTAAAACTGTGTTATTTTTCTGGGTGGTAATGGCTGTCTAATGGTCATTAGTGTTGCTACTGTCTGACGGAAAGAAAGAAGGGGCAGTACATTACTGTAAGTTGCCTGAGGATGGCATGTTAAAAATACACCTTTTTTTTCAGCTCTCCGGGTTCCCTTGGCATGTTTTCTTTCAGAGGGGCCCAGCTGAATGTGGTATAAACCTGCTATCCCTCTTTTGTGGCAGCCAGGCACCCCAGGGAAAGCTCTCCTGTGCTGCAGCTCTAGCACAAGGGACAAAGGCTTAGTCCAAGGAGTCAGGGAATTTATGTTTTGGTGATCATCTCCAACTTGCTTATAGGGGAAGAGACTCCACAAAATCTGCCTTACCCACAGGTGACATTTCTGGAACAGAGGCTATATAAGGTCCATCCAGGAACTTGGGTTCATTGTCATTAATGTCTTGGATTTTGATGATGAACTCTGACTCTGGCTCCATTGGCCGGCCCGTTCGTCTGTCCAGAGCCTGTGCTCTGAGGGTGTACTGTGACCTTTCTTCCCGGTCCAGTCGTTGAATGGCATGAATATCCCCTGTCGTATCATCAATTGTAAATACAATGCCAGCTCCCTCTCCTGAGAGGATGTATTTGATTGAACCGTCTCCCCTGTCCATGTCAGAGTGGAGCTGCAGAAAGGAACAGGATTCAGTTACTATGAGCTGGGCAAGCAGCTGCTGAGAAACACCAAGCACATGAGCGTCCTGGGCATTTTGGTCTCACTGTTGGGACTCACAATCTGGTTTTAATGAACCTGTTTTGCTGAAAGAGGCAAATACTCAGTAAAGTCTGTATCACAGAGTTGCAATTAAAAACCCTCTCCTGTCTTTCTATTTCTGGCCCCACAGCTGTGCCAGAAGAAAGGAACAGGCTCTGTAACTTTTTGAGATCTCATTCAGCACAGTAACTATCTTTTGCCTGGTTGCACTGGCCACTGAGAAGGCCTCACTGCCAGGCTTGGGATAAGGTGAGGTCAGGAAAGCTGTGGACTGTGCTTGCTCACATGGCTTAAGAGGAGTCAGGGGTAGCATAATGCTGGGACAGATAAGGCAAATCTGTTTAATCTGTTTGGGAGCAAGGGGAAAGCAGGATGGAAGAGCTACTCAGTAACTGTCATGATTCAGAAATATTTTCTTTTTTTTCTACCATAAAAATTTTAGCAGCAAAAATTAGGATTGATCCTTAAATATTCAGGAAAGCATGGACAGTATGTAAAGTAAATGAGGAACATTTGAATGCGACCATGGCAGGCCATAGAGATTAGAGGCATCCCAGATTTTCTACAGAATTAGTAAATGGATTTATTGCATGACTGCTGATTAGTCCTGAGCAGCCACAGTTAGCTGTGAATGCAACAGGACAGGAGAGAAGTAAATGCAGTGCTAATTAGCATCTAAGAGAAAGAAATCATCCTGGGGACTACCATTCTGTTAAACACCCAGTTCCCATGAAATACTGGAATATTACATCAAAAGACAAACAAATCACTCTATTTATTTCACTCACAGTAGGAAGATTCTTAACAGTATGCTCATACTTCCATGCTTTTAAGGAACAGAACATAAAGTCCTGTGCCCAGAAACAGGGTTGGTTAAGTTCCAAAAGACAGGAACATGATAGACTTTAGATGCAATAATCAAAATGGGATATTCAAGAATGGCTCAGGTGTGAATATTGTCTGATTATCATTTTGAATAAAGAATAGATAAATAATAGGAAAAAAGTGATTGAAGTGGGCTGGATTCAGTGAGGCACATTTTAAAATGCATATATGATGCATATATAATGCATATACATATATGCATAGGTAAATATTTGTACTGGAAGGGAAAATCTCGGAATAACAAACTGAATATATGAACACAGTATTGGCAGGATTTGAAAGAAAGACTCCAAATATAAATGGATAATTTGTGTGGAAAAGCAGAAGTCAAACTTAATGCATTTGATTACAAACTATCTTTCAACAAAGAATCAAGAAATCTCATATCTGAGCTATTTAAAAACACACTGAAAACTTTACTGTAACTTACCACATATGAAAAAATTTAACAGGGGGCAAATTGGCTTATCTGACCTAAGCATTGTTAATGGCAGCAGACTAGAAGACTGTGACAACTGCCATGTCAGGCCATTGATATTTCATCTCATTGCTTCATCACTGGTCTCTTCAGTGACTACTGCATCTGAGAGACAGGAGTCTTTCGGAGAGAAAAAAGAAAAGAAAAAGGAAATAAAACTAAAACAAAAAAAAGGAAATAAACATAAAAAGAAGAAAAAAAGGAAAATAAAAATAAACATCAAAAGAAAAATAAGAAAAAAAAAGAAAAAGAAAAAGGAAAAGGAAAAGAAGAAGAAAAGAAAAGGAAAAGGAAAAGGAAAAGAAAAGAAAAGAAAAGGAAAAGGGCACACCTTTTAAAATAGCAGGTGCTCAGGAAAGTTTAAAAGACTTAGAAGAAGATATTGAATTAAACTCATAGGTTAAATTGCACCTTTGGTCCAAAGCCTGTTTGGAACGAATGCAGTTGTGTAGGGAGCAAACAAGGAATGAACATGGCACGCTAATAAGTATTTGGGAGTACAAGAGGATCTCTGTCTAATTGATTTGTTACAAACATTGGGTCTCAACCAAGACTAAGCAGCAAGAAATGCTAGCAGCACTTTTGCAGCTTCTTGTGTAACCTGCTTTCCCTAGACACAGCAAAAAAGAGCATAAAAGCCATAATACTGCCAGACTGCAATAAATCTGAAAGAATTTGGTGTCTGAAGGGACTGAAGCTTACACCATTGCTCACACCAAACCCAATATCAGGGTCCTGCAGTTCAGATTGTGCATAGAAGTCAGTACTTTGGAAAGGTGATCTAGGTTTAAATTTGCTCTGTTTTACAGGTGGTGCAATAATTTGTGCTGCCCTGTGGCTGACACAGAAGGAATTCGTTTGTACTTTCTCCTCCATATTAAGGAATGGAGTATGGGAGGAATGAAGCAAATAACTCCTGAGAAACTGTTAACTGTGTCAGCCTGGACTGGTTCTTTTGATGAGGACGGTACAAAAGATTAAGAATGTTATATCTGCATTTAAACAACACATTTCCTGGCAAAAAGCAGATAGAGTGGTGCTGAGGAGGGCAGCTCAGGGGAGGACTCACACAGCTCTGTTAATCAGGCTGTGACTCCATCCTTGATGTCCTTTCCTTTCTCTATCTCCAGGGAGGTAGTGAGGACGCATGAGTAAGTTTGTTTGATCTCCAGTGACGGTGCGTAGAAAGGAAGCATTTTGTTCACTCATTCATCTGCTATGTTTCAAATGCTTTGAAACAGGGTTAGGGAGTCTCCGACATGGCAAAGTGGTGAAGTCTGTCCCCAGTTCAATTAGACACAGTTTAGGCTGCTGCATGAATGTGGAAAATACCTACTGTAGCAAATGTGGGGGCTTCGGTTTCTCTCGTTTGTTCTATTAGCCAGTAATGGCTACCTCTAGGGAAGTTGAAGCCTTGTATTTATCTGACAGGACCAGGAACCCTCAGAAGCTGAAATAGTAGTATCATGAACACTACAGAAAAGCAAAAATTGTTCACGACTTCACCTCAGGAAGTTTCTTTTAATTTCCCTGTTCATAAGATACTTTACACCTTGCTTTACAATTACATAGGAAAATACATTTTTTCACAGCAGCCTTGAAAATCATATTAGGCAAGCCTGCATCTATGGTTCAAGTCAGGGTGCTTTCTGGGTAGCTCCAGCCATACATAGCTAGCCAGAAACAGCTGTACAAGAGCATCTGAAGAGCCCCTCTCTTATGGGAATCCTTCAGAATATAAAGTAGATGCAACTGGTTCTATGCTGTGCACTCTTTCTCCTTCTGATCTGGGCTTGGAGTGGGCAGGTGGATAAAAGAAAGGCCTTGCTAGCAGGGTGTTTCATGGTGTTGTGGGTGGTGTCAATCAAAAGATGCTCTGCCTGTCCAGGCATGGGACCCAGAGCTATTTGGAGGGCTGGTGCTAGCAACAAGCAGTAGGCTGGAAGTCCTTCCACACCTCCTCTTGGTCCCGCACAAGCCCTTCCAGAGCTGTTTCTGAGTCAGCCTGAGGTGACTCAGACTGAAAAAATTCTGGCCTGCCAGAACAATTAATTCAGCCCACAGACTATTCCCTTTCCTAAGGATCCCTAAGACACAGGCAGCACGAATGCAGGCAGGGTGACAAATCGTGGTAGGCTTTATGGTCTTCTGAGAGCCTGTGCCTTTGGCTGTGTGAAACAAGGGTAAGCTTTTCTCTCATGGAAGCCCCCACTGCATTCATCCCACTGCTCAGCTGCCTGCTCTGCACCCAGATCAGGGGTGGGAGAAGATGAAATGTTTGCCTCCCAGAGGCCCATTCTGGCAATAGAGTTCCCTGTCTGGTCTACATGGAGCAGTGCAGAGCTAGGCCTTCAGAGAGATCCAGCCCAGTCAGCTCAACAGGGTATGGGGTTAAATGGCCCTGTTAACCATGTGAGCTAATTAGCCCTTTCACACTCTGTGCTAACAGAGCTGGGGTTTTGGCATTCCTGGAGAGAGTTCACTGACAGCAGCTTGGGTTTTTGTATGGTGGGCACAGATCACGAAGAGTTGTCTCTGCTTCCCCCCCGTGCAGCAGAGCTGGGTAGCAGTGAGTTCAAGAGCACTGCCGACTGCGCCAAGTTTTTGTGCTCCTAATGACAAAATCAAGTATCAACCAACGATGAGTCAATTTCTTCCAGGATTTGTTTTAGCTAAAATTCAGCTCACAGTGCAAGTCTGGAGTCATTTCAGATGAAACTGAGTGTGTGAAATAATATGTCTGGCCCTTGTTCCAAAGCTGGGAATTGCATGAAAACAAATATTAATTTCTTTAATCAATAGAGATATCAAGAGCTGAAATGCTAGATGCAGAGATGAATGAAGACTAATGAGGTCTCATTTGGCGGCAATCAGTAGGAATGCCGTTGCTGTGGGAGGAAGGAGAGAACATCATGCTGTCAGTCACACAGGGATAAATGAGGAGGAGGTCTTTTGAAGCCTGTGGATTCGTTTTGATTTATACTGGAGTGACTGAAGGCACAGTTTAGCTCTATGGGGCTGCAGAATGATAAATACAAGCCCCAAAAGGGCCTCTGGATATGTGGTTCTTTTTTTTTTGTTTGTTTTCCCTGCAAATGAATAGCTAGGAAGGAAAAAAGAAGCCTTAATCATATAAAAATAAGCAATGAAAGGAATTGTTTTCTGACATCCTTTCTTAGTTCTTAATTTTTTATATCTACCTATATATAGTCTGCACCCATTATAGTGGTATCTGATATTCTAGGCATCTAAAATCTTAACTGTATTGTTCAAACACTTAAGTACACTAAATCTCCTCCCCACTTTTGTCAGATTTGTCACCTTGGTGCTGACCATAAACCTTTGAATAAGGGTCAATACTTTAAACAATTCAGAGTCTTTAAAAGCGGTCAGAAAACAGAAAAACAGAGGATGGTTATAGTGAGGCAGATTGTGACGGCAGATATCACTGCTTTTATTTCCACCAGATTTTTCCTCAAGGAGCTACAGAAATGTGAATGCAAAATACTGCCGAGAAGATGGGGTGAGCTTAGAGATCCATTTGACATGTATCTGTACTGATGTGTATGTTATTGGGGTATAAGAGGACCCTTCATGGTTGGATTTAATGAGCTGCCTGTCTATCCTTCTAGATCTGGATCAACTTCTCTGTAGTCCACAGCATTAACTTACAGTAAAGCTGCGCTTAGCAAGAAGATACTCTGACCCTACAGATTTTTAGAAAATAAAAATTAAAATGTCAATTTTCAAGGGAAACTGGCTATTTATTTAGTTTGATTGTGAATTTCAACTTTCAGCTGATGATCACAGACAGAAGCATGATCACAAATTCTTCCTTTCTTTCCTAATTCCATGACAATATAACCTTGCTTTGCCTTGACATAGTTGGAGTCCCTGGAAAGATCACTGCAGATTTCTAACACTACCATAACTACAGATGATGACTGATGTGGCAGATCTCTCACTTTGAAACAGGCGAATAGATTGACAGCCCCCAAAACAGAAATTCTTCCCAAAAGAAGGTGACACTGGGGAAAAGCTGTTAGAAGCAGAAATTAAATAAATAAATTCACTGCCAGGAAGAAGGTAAAGGCACTTAGGAAAACTTCCTGTGTTTCACCACAGTCTGCAGATACTCAGATGTATACATTCCTCCAGATACCTGCCTAGTGCAGTTCTTACCTTCCCAACATAAAGAGGGTCGGTTCCTGTGTACTCCTCCAGAACAAAGAACTGGTTCCACACCCAGCTCCTCTTCATGCGCTGATGTAGCTTGTCTGACAGGTTGTCTTCCTGCCCTTCAGTGAGGGGCCTGGCACTTCCTGACAGCACAGTTGTAGTAAGGTCCATCAGTCCCCAAAAATACAAGGACATTCCAAGTCCAAGCAAGTTCTTTGCATTGCTCATTCTACCTGAAGTCCACATCTGTATTACAAGGGCTGACTTAAAAATCAAACCACAGTATCTTAGGTCCCTTGTGAAGAAAGTAGCTCCTGTGTGTAGTCCTTTAAAATGTCCAAAAGATCCTTGTTGTGGGAATGGTAGTCTCCTGTAAAGTTAAAGAAAAGTCATAGGAGGATGGGCTTTCACCCCCCCACCAAGGTAAAAGAGTTTCCTCAATAAGCATATTTTTATTATATTAAATATTATATATTAATTATATAATATATTATATTAAATAAAAATATTTAATCTTCTATATAAAAATACAATAGCAGGATACACACCCACTGAAACTAGGAATTCTATTTCCATATAAGCTGCAGAACTGAAGCCTTAGATACAAGAATCATCAGGGTTTAGTCAATAAGTAAGAGTACTTTACTTCGCTAACTTAGCTCTACTGTTGCTTTATCATATTGATTGGCATGAGTTAAGTGAATACTCTTTAGAAGTATTTATGACCAGAAGTCCTTAGGGAATATTTAAAAAACAGTTCACTCTGAAAAATAATAGCTGGTGAACAGTCTTTGGCAACCATCTTTCTATTTGGAAATTATATCATTGTAATTGCACACACGTGCAAGCCCACACGTCAACATAAATACAGGTATTATTGCTATATTGCAAACCTTAAATATAAGTTTTAACAGCTCCAAGTTATTTCTAATTTTAATTATTCTTTCAACCTCCCTGTTGCTGGAATTCAGGTTTCACACTCTGCTGCCTCCTCCCTGAGGATCTGATTGCTGCTACAAATTCAACATTTCTAGAATTTGAATGGTCAGTTAATCATTTTATAAACCACAAAGGGTTTCAGGGTGCTGACGGTCACATGTTATTGTGTGATGTGTCCAAGCAAGTCAAGCTTACACATCTTTTCCTTCACAAGTCTGAAAGACTTGTTTAGGCAGAGGAATGCTGACCTCTATAAGAGGACACTTTCTCATCAGTCTAAGATCTTTTGTTGTCATGAAGTCAGTTTAGTTGGTGAGCTCACTTCAGGATACAGATTGAAGCAAACCTTTCCTTCACCATTTTGCTGAGTTTAATGATGTGGTGCTGCTCCCAAGTTACTCTGTCAAAACACTCCAGTTAGATTTACTCTGTGGGCCTAGTATTTTTGTTGTTCTTTTTAAGAAATATTTCTTTTTTCAGGACAAACTCATTAGGAAATGCATACAGGCCTCAGGCTCAAGCAAGCAGTTCACACTTTATTTTACTGGTGTTCTATACTTAAGTATTTAGGCTTAATTGTTTTATGCTGTGGAAATAAATGTAGCAGGTGATGTCTGACACATATTTCTAATTTAAATCCTTGAAAGATTTCAAAATCATAAAAAATACTTTGAAGAGTTACATGATAATGTTTTGAAGACTGAGACAATGCAGTGTTTTCAACAGAGGAGAGAGTGTTTAAAAATTCCCCAGCATCCAAGCTTGTACAACTGGAAAACTGTGTACACTCACAAGTCTACTGAAACAGAAGTTCAGAATTTAATCCAAAAGTTGCCTGAAATCTGAAAAAGGCAGTTTAGGTCTGGAATAGATGTCCATAGGGGAAGTAAGACAACTTAATGATCTATCTCAGACTAATTTCTACACAAAATAAGGCTTCCAAGTATAAAGCCCAGGAGGACTATGACTACACAGTGCTGCTAGTCCACAGACTTGTGAAGTGTAGCAAACAACTAGTAGGCCCTTTACCTTTGAATGTTTACAGCCTAAGGCTCAATAGATAGAACAAAAAAAGGACAGACTAAGAACAGAACATGGTAAATCTCTTCTAAGCAGAGCAATGTACAGAACTGCTGGTTGTTTAGATATTGGCTATGTAATGTGCTAGGGCTTATTGTCTGCAAAGGCAAAGAATGGGGATTTACCTAAGCAGTACAAGCCCAGAAGGACCACAGTAATCTCTGTGTGTCTGTTGCTTCACAAAGAAGCTGGCAGCTGTTTGTGAGACACAGGGACAAGGCTCGGTTTGCTGGATACCCACAGTTAAAAGAGTCCAAGACCTGTGGTGCAGTGCTTGCTTCTCTCTGTCCTGTTAGTCCTTAGCTCTCAGATGCTAATCTACACTTACACTGGGTAGAGGAGGCTGAAGTCCTCTTCACATAATAGGTATGCCCACTTTGTTCTTGGCATGTTGTCAACAGCAAGTTTTTCTCAGCAAAGTGAGGGGGACATTATTAACAACCCATGTTTTGTTGGTGAGTAAATGTAGGAAGGGGCCTTCCACCATCCCTTAACATGAGTTGAGGGAACACAGAAGTGCCTCTGACATGCAACAGGAAGGGAAAGTGGAGGCAGGCTGCAATCCAGAAAAGAAGGTCCTGCCTGAAGTTTTTACTTTAAGAAGTTCCATCTACTGTACAAGTCAGTTACATTTTTGTTCATGTGGCAAAAAGGTGATACAACACAATGGACCAATTCCAGTGTCAAAGAGAACTGTGTTTGTAAGTGAACTCCCAAACCACAGATTCAAAACTAATTGTGCCAGATGTCTCCTGTAATAAAGTTCAGCCAACAAGGATCAACAGCACTCAGGCAAAGTAGTATCAAGACATGGTTAACTAAACTGGCAGAGTTACCAGTAGATCAGTAATGATAGCAAAAGGAATACGAAAATCAGAATGTTTTTTTCTGCATGTGTGTTATATCAGCAGAAAGCAAAATAAGTAGAAACAGTGAAATAAAGGGCAAGAATAGGGGTATAAATGCTTCAGACTCCCTGTGATAACAGCTTTTGTCATTTGAATGTCACTCAGGATAGCTGTGGAGCAGTGGTTAGGTAACAAATTCTGATTCTCATGAGGGTCTGCACAACCCAGGATTAGAGCCGAGTGAGACAGCCTTGAGCTCTCTCTGACTCAGCTGAGCTGAGGAGGCGTGGAGTTGAAGAAATGTAAGCAGAACGTTGAAACAGGAGCTTGCTGGCCACAAGGAATGCACCGCTTATCGCAAGGCATGCACCCTGCTGCTGCAGATATGTGTGTAAAACTTAGCTTAGCCAATAGCAATGTATAGACAGGAGCGTGGACAGGTTTATGTAGCCAATAAAAGATGTACAGCTGTCACGTAAACTATCACCAATGGTATAAATTAGGTGAGCTTGTGCAATAAAGGGAACAAGAAACGTAACTCATATTGGGATTGTCTTCTTGATTCAGGTCGTTCCTCCAACAGATAGCAATGCAGTTCCATGACGAACCTTTATTGAAAACAGTGTGCAACTCAGTAGCCCACAGGGGCAACGTTCCTAAAAGCATTTCCTATTCCCAATGTAATCTAATTCTGGGGTATGGCAACCATCAGGAAACTTTCTGTTAAGTAATGTAAAATCTTGTAAAGGACACTACTTCCCTGAGTACCAGTAATTTCTCCATTTAATGCCAGCCCAGGTTACATGATCATATATTTCATAAGGATGGAAGAAAGTACTAGTGTTGAAGTGGCACAGAATTTTTTTGTTAATACCAGAGTTACTGGTGTCTTGTGTCTTTCCAAAACTGTGAGCAAGCAGGCTCAAACTCACCACAGTTTACTTCTCTACTAAAGGTAAATTACCACTATTAATAATAATGTTTAATCAAGAATGGTTCCTCTGTCTCTGAGGCTAAAGGAGAATGGGATTTATTTTTTTCTGTCTCTTGTCCTTAGCTGGTATTAAAAGAAAAAAACTTCTGGCCCGAGGTGCTGCTGGTCCCTCTGAGACTCTTTTTTGAGAATTTCCTCTCCCCCAGGTGTGTACTACTGGCCTCTGACTCTGCAAGAACTCCTGGTCAAGCAGAGCATATCTCAGCAGTGTAAAAGGCACTCATGTACTTTTAGGGTTTGAATTGTGTGATAGCACAAGTGATGGTTGAGCGACAGTTTAGGTAAGGGATGACTGAGTCTTTCATGCAGACAGCTTCTTCACTGTGTGAGTCTGATAGATAAGTATGAGGTCACTTAGGCTGTAGAGATAACAGCTCATTAGGATGATAGCCATATGCTTTGAATGTTCTAGCTTGGTGGTATCTCTGGTCTTAAGTGGGCCTTAGTGGTTTTTGTCACTGAATGAAGATGCAGGCTTTGAGGCAGAGCCTCTTCTTCTGAGTCAGGCTAGGTAGTGCCTTGCAGGCAGATCAGGGGGACCAGTCAAACAAGTAGACACTTGCTAGCATGACTGAGTGAGGTAAAACCAAATCTTTAATGTTCTCTTAATGCAAGTGTTTTCTTGAAGCCCTTCAAAATGGGTCTTTAGGAACATCTGCAAAGATGGAATTAAGCCTCTGCTTGTCATATGAAATACATTATAGAAACATGTTTCATGGCACAGTACAGGGATGTGCAAAAGACTTGAGGGCAGTAAAGGAAGGGAAATCTTGTTTTCCTTGCTCACACAAAAGAACTATTGAGCCCAGGAAGACTGCATAACCAAAAGGTGTGCGATTTCTGAAGAGGGCTTTTTATTTTTCAAGAACAGTTTAAATGTTTCAGAACCCAGTTTGTTGCCCATAGTTGAGTATTCCATTGTAATAGGCTTAGCCCTGTCCCAAGGTGAACGCCTTCCTTGCTCCTGATTTTATTATGAATATTTCATTACCAGCTCACACTTTAAGGTTATTTTTTTCTGTTCTTGCCTTGCAAATATTGCAGAGAAAATCCTTCTTCATGTCACTAAACAGTACAAACATGTCTTTCGACTTCATAAAAAACAGTGAAGATCTGATGGATCTCTGTGCAACTGGTGGTCTAAAATGGTACAAAGAAACTACCCAAGTGCTCTACATAAAAGGGTCAAAATAATGCATTTTCCACAAATGTGAATACAAATTTCTTTTTTTTGCCCCATATTATGAATAAAAGTAGGTGGTTTCCAAGTGTGAGCTCCTTTTCATGCTCCAATTTCAAAGGCTCCTCCTTAACAAATACTTGTACCGTAATTAAGCTATTCTTAATTGAATATCTAGCTCTGGGAAAATATTAAAAGGAAAAAGAAATATCTGCCAGATATAGAACCAACTTCTAGCATTTTTGTATGTGACCCATTTATCTTGTTAATTCTGAAAAGAATATCGCTTCCAAGGAAAGGATAAAAATATTAGTAGTTTGGATGACCAT